AGTAGTCCTTCCATGAGGTTTTCTATGGCTGGGACTTAAGCTCAGTAGAGTGATTTTGTTGAACTGTTTGCATCATCGTATTCTATTAAGATTTGTCGACTAAACTTCTGAGTAACATTGTATTTAAAGTCCCACTTCAATTTGTCTGGAGGTTTGTACATTGTCACATTCATACTATAGTTGCATTTAGGTGTTAACTTTTGTTAAAATGGCAGATCAGTCTTCCGTAATAAGTTAGACAAAGAATGCGCTTGTAATTTATTGCTATTGTATTTGGAATGTGTATGTAATAAGGACATCTTCGTATGCCTTCTGAAAAAGAAGATCGTGAAAATATAATTAAGTGCCGTTAACTTTGATAAAAGCAAAAATAAATCCTACTTATCCTAAACTTGTGTTCTACGTAAACCAATATTTAAAATAATACATCACTCCTTATTTTATGTAATTTATCTACTTACTGTATGTATTCTGTGTAATCACTGACGTCTTTATATACAAGTACGCGGGATTGGTTGTACCATACAAAATGTTTGTGGTGACTTGAAGCGCCACCATTTTCCGGCCCGGGAATTAAAATTGACATAATATGCCAAAGTCAAAATATTATCTCTGTATTTTAAACTAAAAACGATAGTATTTTATGTGATTTGATTGTGAATAATTTTAGTTACATAATAAGAATTATTTTTAATAATAATGAGTGTGCGTAATATGTAAACCTCGTTACCAAAAGGTGAGTGAATGTGAAACAGTACAAATAAAACAATAAAGTTCAATAGGGTTGTCGAATTCCTTGTCTATAATACTTATCGATGTTCTTTCCCACCAATATCTTTCTTTCTCTTTCTCTTTTTTTTTTCTTAGTAAAAACGTTACCTCCACACTAGGATTTTCTCCTGTATCCTGGGGGCAGTTTACAAACACAAATATCACAAGGACAAACATTCAGACCCGGAACAATTACTTGTAGGTTATACAAATACTTATACACATTGCTAAGCCATTGCGCCACGGAGCCGTCAAACAGCAAAAGTAACAACAAAAGTAGCCGACAACAGATAATTACAAATGTTTATTAATTAACAGGTTTCCAATTGAACCTAAACCAGAATTAGGGCTTAAAAGCATTAACATTTTGAATTAGCATCCGAAACAAAATTATTATCTTTGTTCTAAACATTTCACAAACGACTGTTTTATTAGACATGAAAAATGCACCACTAAGAAAAAGCGTAGTATACCGACAATGTTTTCTCAAGGTACCATTAAGTATAAAAATATTAGATTATTATTTCGAATGTTTTTATTTCTATTATATTCTCTTCACATTTCCTCTCAAACTCAAGGGCAAATCATAGTCAAGTGTAGGAAGGTCTCCTGATGACGACTTTGTGTTTACAAGACCTAATTTTTTTAAATCTGTTCAAATACGACCAATTTATTATATCAAGGAAATAAATTTATATTGGGACTGTAACATTATTAATAACCTTAGTGAGTTTACATGAGTGTAGGTGAGAAATAGCTCCTCCCTGAACGGATTTTTGTCTTGTCATCGCGAGTCGTTAGGGGGAAGTCGTTATTTGGTAATCCATGTTAAAAGTTGGGCACTTACATGGCTGACCCGAGGTGGTCACTCTGAGTGGGCTTGTCGAGATATTGGATGTGTGTTAGTGGGCTGCGACTAGAGGAGATTCCTCAGTAGAACCAGAATGACCGACATCGTCCAACGGATTAGTAACCTGAAGTGGCAATGGGCCGGTCATATAGTTTGAAGAATCGATAACCAATGGAGAAGAAAAATTCTTGAGTGGCAGCTGCATACCAGCAGGGGAAGTGTAGGACGTCCTCACACTAGATGAAGTGAAAACCTGGTAAGACATGCAGGATTTTGATCGATACAGGTGGCTCAGGACCGTGTTTTGTGGCAATTCTTGGGGGAGGCCTATGTTCAGCAGTGGACCTGTGAAGGGCTCTAATGATGATGAATGATGATAACATTATATTAATATGGTACGTAAATAAAATGGACGTTACGGGTAGAAGCCCACCCGTAATGTTTATTCTATTTATTTGGGTATAGAAGGGGTATAGAATTTTTATCGATATATTTTGTTACACTGTCTTATATCTATTATAAGTTCCGTGGACTTTCACTTCCGTTGCCAGCGCCAAAATGGCGTAAATCCTCTTATGTCACAGTATATAGCCAGTCTATATATAGAGGTCAGTGTGTGTAATGGTAGTGTAAGAATCCTCCGCTAAACCATATCATCTCTTGGGTGACGTAAGAGGTGATAGGAGAAAACTATAACAGGAGATGGACAGTAGCATGGTCCTGAAAAGAACTCAAAATAATACAAAAATGCAGTTGACAACCCGCCTAACAAGCGTGGCAACTGTGACAATTTTGTCCTACATAAGGCAATCTATGAGGGAGACCTATGTTAAGTAGTAGAATTCATATGTTGTAATGGATGGATTGGCATTTTATCTAAGCAAAATTGTCCAACGAATCAGTAAGCTGCAGCAAAACAAAAAAGCAACAAACAACCTATGTGGAAAAAAGGTTCTCGAATGGCAGCCCCGTAACTATAAACACACTTGATAATGTGAAAACTTGGTAAGACATGCAGGAATTCGATAGATGAAGGTAGTAAAAATAGTTCAATTTCGCTACTAAAATAAACTCAGAGCAAATTTTAGATAACTTATTTATTTATTTAGTAATAATCATTCTCCCGATGCATTATTAGGCCAAAACTGAGAGACATGATTTAGAAGCTCTTATTTGTAGATTCTATCGAATGTCGATCATCAAAAAGAATTTTTAACTCCCTTGTTTCCTATACTTTTATAATGACACAATACATTTTAGTTATATGCCTTTCACGCAAAGAAAAAATCGACATGATCCAATTACCGACCGAAAAAGCTTCGATACAAGCCCCAATATCTCCGAAGTTCTACATCATTTTGAAGTAAAATTTATACCAAAATAATCATCAACATTTGCTTAAACTATACTATGATTTTTATTTTTAAGTCGTTATGATTATTTTTTAGTTAAATAAATAAAAGTACCATATATTTCACAGCGCCGACCATCTGAATTCATTACCACGCGAACGGTTCTTGAGGTTAGACTTGTGCCACTTTATTTCGCGTGCTCCGTCTCGTTTCGATATTATCGTAATGATTGTCGATTACCATGGCGCTACTATTTTGTGCTAGAGCATCTTCAACTCGCCCGCAGTTTTTAATCATTGGAAGTATTTACTTAAGTACAGTATATTTCAATTAGTATAAAGTTCGCACATTATTATTATACCAGATAGTTAACTCATAATAGTTATTTTGATTGTAGTTGAACTTTCTGACCAGTCGGAATGGGAAAAAAAATAAATTCAAGTATCAATGTGTCACTAAGCTTAAAAAAAATATCCTGTCTCTGCAGAAATAATTACGGTTATTAAAATGTCTGCATGCTTGCCATATGGCCTGTCCCAGATTATGCAGTAAAAGTACTAAAAATCTACAAAGACGACAAATTTTGGATTTTGAATATGTTACCCAAGTTACAAGCGTTTTATAGAAAGTGTGTAAGTGCAGATATAAAAAATATTAGTTACAGTAGGTTATTTTATTTATTAAAACAGGTTTCAACCGTACTATTTATTTATTTACACCACTATGCTACCGTCAGTAGATATAATCGATTATTAACCGACATCGGTTAACAATCGATTACTACGAAACAATTAAAATATTTATGTGTACTTATTTCAACACTAAGATTCATAAATAATTAAAAATATATCAAATGAATTATAATAAATTAATTAGATACAATAAAAATGACACACCAAAAAATTTCTATGCACTGAACTCCATCCTAAGAAAACTTGTATAATGGAAGATCAAGATCCTTTAGTCACATATGTACATCACGTAGTATAGCGATACTCACAGCGCTAGCGAGTGAATAGAAATATGAAATAAAGTATCGCTCGCGTAGGTCGTTGCCCACTCGGCGCATTAAATACCTGAATTTGCGTAACGCCAAAATATAAGAGGACTCTTAAGAAAGTTGTTTTGGTGACGATGATGATTATTATACGAAATGATCATATCACCATGTATTATTTCCGTTATTCCCCATTGTCATCTCTGTCGCTGCTATGTGTTGTGTGGTGAGTGTAGAGAACCGTAGACCCTTATTACAGTACCGTCAACTAAGGCATCTTTACCTTCCCTTGTCATCTTTACCTACCACTGACAAGTAATAAGAAAAATCATTTTTATCAGAAACTACTAATGGTAGATATTTCATAGACACATTAGTTGTTTCGTAATGAGCCAATGGTCACACAATTTTTTTTAATACTGGCAGCACTGTCAAATGACGATGAGTTATAAACGTTTGTTGATACTCACGAGACACTTGTCGCAGCAGATTCTGGTCGAAATTTTAATTGTGCTTGTGAATTCACTTAGCTGAGGTAAGTAGAATTGATACATATTATATATAACCTTCCTAAGAAGACGTAGAAACTGTTATAATGGTAATTTCTTAACAATTTTAAGATAAATTTTCATAGGTAATGATAGTTGAGGCTAGGTAAAGTTGCCACAGTTTGTACAGTGACGTCTTTACCTGTAGCTAGGGTTGTCACTATACTTTACCGGCTTCTATACGTAAATGTTTTACTTTTAGGAGGGCTTACAAGCTAATTAAAACTTACATAACAATATTAATACACTTATTCTAATAATAATAACAATGCAATTGTTTATACTTATCATTTCCATTTATATATTTATACAGCCCAACAAGATGAGAAAACTATTAAAATACTTAAATAATAAACATTTTGAAAAAAGATGTCAAAAGGAAGAGTATAAGAATCAAAAACCTCCAAGGTAACTCTTCGGATTCGGACTCTGACTGCTCTGTACAGTATGCATATTCTTCGGATTACAATTCAATTGAAGACATGCAGGATTACTTATTGAGACAACTGATAGAAGATCAGAAAATGGATGAAATGGAAAAAGGTGAACAAGTGGCCTATTTGGAAACGAAGGGACATGAGACAGAAAGATTGAGAACGGAAAGTGATGTATGGATAGAAAACGATGAGATGTTAAATGACAAGGAGAAAGAAGAATTTGGAAAACAGAAAATACAGGAACAAATGAAAGAATTGGAAAAAAGAGTATGAGATAAAAAAACTTGAGAATAGAAAGTGATAATAGGCGAGTACAAGAGATGGTATATGAATATGACTTGGAGAAAATCGAATGTAAAATACAGGACACAGAGGAACAAATGAAGGAATTGGAAACAAAAGGACACGAGGAAGAAAACTTAAGGATAGAAAGAGATGAGGAACGAACAGAATGTGGAAAAACAGATGATAAATGAATATGAAATGGAGAGAGGCTTATGGGAAGACCAGGAAACAGTAAAAAAAACTGGAAACGAAAGAACACAGAATAGAGAAGCAGGAAAGAAAACAACAGATAGAAAGCCTAATAATAGAAAACGATGTAAAAAAGGACTGAAGATAAAACGACCTAGACTAGAAGAGACTATGTCAGAAGAAGAGACTAAAAATGAACAAAATGAGAAGACAACTAAAGCCGAAAGTTTATATATGGAAGGACAATACATCTTGGTAAAGTTTAAAAGTACCAAAAATACGTATAAGTATTACTGCGGCCTGATTACGAAAATATCCGAGTGTGAAGGTGTTTTCGCAAAATTCATGAGACATAAAAAGGTGGGTTTTACTGGAACACAGTACCCGACACAAGTATTGTATTCGAAAATGATATACTTAGTGCAAATTTTACCCAACCCCTATAAAAACCGGCGTGGAATTTTATATTTTGATATCAAATTTAAATATAATTTGGAATAATACTTTTAGTTTTATTTTCAATACACTTTGGCTGAAACTATGATAGTATAAGTATTATAAATATGTGACAACTAGTACTTTAAACATTAACATTATAATATACTTTACAATTTTTACAAGTTTAGCGCATGGTATTTACAGAACACTCCATGCGACTATCTGACTTGAATTTAATCAGTGTTTTTATAGCCGTACATTTTAACTTCATTTTTAAACAAGTGGCAGCCCTGATAATAAATTACATTTGTATGAGAATTTCAATGGAGTCCATGCCATCTTTACCTATCAGCCTGTATTGCTCGTATATATATTTTTTATTTAAAGTACCAATATGTCTAAACAGAGAGTGTAAAGCGAAAGGGTATCTTTACCAATTTCAGTTATAAAGGCTTCATTTTATCGAGATATACGGTATAGGTAAAGTAGCCATTTTAGCGACATCCTTACCTGTGTTATGTTTTTGGTGCTGCTTTAGTGGTTTTGCAGCTATGAGGAGCAGTGCATTTATAACGCAATGTAGAAGTACTATTTCGTCGATTAAAAGGAATAGCTTATTTATAAGTGTTTTATTTTTCCGTTTATTAAGTTTTTTCTTCAAAAATATGGTAAAGATGCCGTGGTTGACTAAGGCATTTCATTTTAGTTCTTTGAATATAGGTGTAGGTATCTATGAGCCGCTTCTACTAACCATCAGATGAACTGTTTGCTCGTTTGTATCCCTTATTATAAAAAACAAATAAGTAATAAGTACCTAAATAAATACTCACGGGACAAAATGGGTCAATGGATTCTCTAAAGCCAGTAACAATTTTGTTTCTAGACATTAAAATAACAAAAAGCCATCGTTTACAATGAGCTTTGTCTACAAGCATAACACATGCTTCCGTGTGCAGACTTGCTCATTTTGCACGTGTTTAAGAGAAATGTTATCAGCCAAAAAAGTAAGGTGTTAATGTTATGTTAATACCTAACAATTTTGATTCGATATTTACACTATGCCATAATATATAATAATTTATTATGACAGTCGATTTTATGGCGACAGACGGAGGATATGTTACTTTCAATTTTTTTATTTTAAAAGCAAGAAAAAAAATTCTTATCTCAACTTATCCGGAATGTGGCGCACTTACTGATATAAAGCAGTAGAAGCCTCCATTAAGGAAAGGTAATTCCGAATTAAAAAAGCGTCCCCGTTATATTAAGTCAGTAGTTAAAATATTGGGGCTCCAGCACAATATTACAGTTTAAAAAATTACAATTCAACTGTAAAATAAAAAATAAAGTCTGAATACGTACCGAAACAATAGTAGTCACGTACAATGTACGAAATTAAAGCTCAATGTGGTTGAAGATACAAAAGACGGGTAAACGTTTCGTTTTGTGTTCTAATGGAGCTAGTACAAGCTTTTTAACGTTTAGATTCTCGGATTTCAGATTGGTAAATGAAAAATCGATTTATATTTTAATTTTTCTTAAAAACTGCAAGTAAAAAAAACATATTTGCAGTTCGCGATAGAAGTGAAACCTTCAGAAAAATAAACTTCGATTGAATGAGATGAATGCAGAGTATCAGGACAAGGATATTATAGCCAATAGCAAACAACATACGTTGAGTATAAGTTGAGTAATGTAAGAATTATCCTATGTGGTGTGTCAGGATCGTGCCAAATGGAAGTCTGTAGTCTCTGCCTACCCCTCTAGGTGACAGGCGTGAGAGTTTATATGTAGCAAACAACAAAGTATACTAACATTAACATCAACTCACGGAATGTACAGTTCCATAGACAAAGATAGTAACGGCCTCAGGTGTATGATACGGTCTTAATTTGTTTAACCCATGATTTTTTTACATATAAATTACACGTTTCGATTTTATTTATGTTTGATTCAAATTAGTCTGTAGCGGAAAATAAATAAAATGTATCTGTAGCTGTTGCGAAAAGGAAGTGTCAAAGTTAAATTGGTAGCGTAAATTGGAAATGTTTTAAATCATTTTTAAATTAAATTCATGCACTAGTATTAACTTTTCTAAGTTTTTAGTTTAGTGTATATTTAGTTTATTTTGCAGAATAATTACCTAAGTGTTGTGTTACTAGCCAGTAAATTATTTAATTTATGTAAATAGTTTATTAGACTCGTTTTAAGTATTCGAATAATGTCGTTACTAAAATGAATGTGTCCCAAGAAGCCTCCTTTACATTGTAAAAATTACTGGTTCAATATATTTGAAATTCGGCTCATAGCGTCACACCGATGAGTTAATAATATAATTTACGTACGGTTAAATAAAAATAACACCTCAAAAGATTTCAAGGCAAATTATTTATTTAATATGATACTTGTCAACCACAAGTGCGGTATAAAATATAAGATAAAAGTTTAATTTTATAGCATATAAATGTTACAATCATTATTTTAGACTAAATTGTTGTAATAAATGGAAAAAAAATATTTCTTGGGAGTAAAATTATTTTTTAAAAGCGCCATCTACTTCATTCCATAGCCAAAGTCCTTTATCGAGTAAAATTGATTGAGTTGGCACGTAAAATAGATGCTAGATGGGCTGAAGTTATGTAATCATGGATTGTCATTAATGAATTGGATATGATAATTTCATTCAATATGGTAATTTTTTAATTTAATAAATTTATTAACCTTTTATATGGGTTTTTTTCGGTTAAAATTTATATTAACCATCTTTAAGGCACCGCTCATAGAGGATACCGAGTTCACAATTTTTTCTTTTCAAAATACTGGCAACGCTCTGCAATGCTAAACTTCCTTTTACTACTACTGCGAAGCTAGAAAGGACCGAGTGAAGCCGGCTACGATCGAGCGTGTGCCTGCTGTACTACCATATATCAAAAGAGTCACAGACACGATTGTTTACATCTTGAACCAAACTTCCATTAAAACCTACTACAAGCTGCCGAAGAAGATTAGTCAATTTTTACCATCCGTCAAGTGTATTATTCCTCTACAAGATACTGGAGTGTACAAGCTTGATTGTGAATGTGTGCTCTTACATAGGACAAACAAACAAATCTATAAAACCCGCGTAAAAGTACATATAGCTGACGTGAAGCACCGACGCTCCGGGAAGTCTTCAGTCTGTGAACAAGTTAAAAATAAACCTAGTCATTACATTAAATTTGACAGCACACAAATCCTCACAAAAACACCGACTCCTACCAATGATGATATTAAAATTAAAAACATATCCTGATTTCAATAGGGAGATGGATGGTTGCTACATACCGACATAACTTGCTGAGTACTTTTCAGTATGGTTTCCGTCCTGGTCACACCACAACTGCCTTACTGAAAATAACTGGAGATATTAGAGAGGGTATGGAGAACATTAAAGTTAGTTTTGTGCTTATAGACTTTTCTAATGATTTTAATACAGTTGATCATGATTACCTTCCTACTATCCTTTCGTATACGATGTTTGCACCGTCAGTCCTGTAGTGGTTCTCATTTTATCTTTGCGGACCTTTGCAGTCTGTCCGCGTGAAGTAAATAACTTCACGGCGGGTTCACCTGATTTCTTGCGTACCGCAAGGTGGTACACTTTCCTCGTTAATCTTCTCTATTTTAATTAATTCTATCACATCCAATATTAATTGTTCATTCCATCTGTATGCAGCTGATTTAGAAATTTATATACAGTCTGACATTTGTGACATTTATAATGCGATTGAGAAATTGATTTCCAATCTCAAGTTAATCCATGATTGTTCTATGGTCTTATACGGTCACATATATGGTCATAATTATCTGTCAATCCTAGGAAATTCCAAGCGATGTTTATAGGTAGCTCAAGGATGCTTTCAAGAATTGATACCGAGGCTACCTTTCGTCTGATATAATGATCCTTTAATATCATTCACTTCTTCAGTTAAAAATCTTAGTCTCCATATTGATAGTAATCTCAGCTGGTAGTTCATATCTCTGAAACATGTGGTAAAGTCTCTGTCGGTTTACATTATCTTTATTGTTTAAAAAATGTCTTCTTTTGAGACTAAAATTATGCTTGTATCAAATTATGTTACATTTACACTACCGATTTTTGATGATGCAGACGTGTATTACTCGGATTTAAACCAAAATCTTCCTAACAAGCTAGAGCGCCTTCTCAACAATTGCATCAGATGCATTTTCAGTCATCGTAAATATGATCACATGTCTCTCTATCGCCTTAAATAGCTCACTATTAAACAGAGATGTCATTCTAAATTTTTGCTTTTTCTCTTTCTTTGCTATCTTTTTCTCACAAACTTGTAAACATTATTTTTATACATATGTACCAAAAGTGTCCGACATGCCTAAAGAAGTTTTTACAATAAATGATAATACTACCTGCTTGGGATCCTAAATAAAATTTAATGCAAACCCAAGCATGCAACTGCAAGACTTCAAGATATACTGTAAGCTCATTCTGCGTAGATCGGATCAAAAATTTACATTCAAAAGACGAGCGAGCCTTAAAAAAGTC